GATTTATAGGTGATAGGTGATATTTCATTTTTAATTATTCTTTTTTAAAATATTTCTCTAGTCTTAATATTATTGTGGTAGGACAATTTTTTGTGATCTGTCAACAAAATCGTTGAAAATTTACACATTCAGAGTTCAAATATATTTTTTTTCTCTCTTTTCAACTGTATAACCCTTTTTATCTTCTTACGCAATAAATTTTTTCGAATAAAAAAGATAGTGTATAGTACACTCAAGAAAGGCTATATAAATGAAATGTTCATTTAATGCATAAATTTTAGTTAAGATAGAATGAAGAGAGGTAGGTGAGACCATGGAGACTGGAAGAATAATAATGCATGTATGGAAGTGCATAGGAATCAGGCTTCAGTTGCAGAAAATTCATATCAATTTTGTACATGGGAATTAGTATCAATCTCGTGAATATGATTTCACTTTGTGTCTCCAACTAACCAATCTTTTGTTTTGGTGCGACCTTGGGCGGTTTGCACCAAAAACTAATTAACAAAGTGGGTAGTCAATGGGCATGTTCGGTAAATGGTTGTTAGCTGTTGGCTAATTGAGTTAATTAGAGAGTTTTATGTTTTTTTTGTTTTTTTTTTTTGGCAACATTTAGAGAATGGAATTTTTATTGTGGGTTCGAATCTCGATATAGAGTTATATTGTGTGGTGTATGTTTGTATGATGGTTGATTTTAATTGTGTAGTAGAATATACAGTATAAAAAAATGTGATCACTTGTGTATTTAAATAAAGATACATTTGGTGTTGCACCGTACCGCTAGGTTGTTTGGATACTTTTGAGTTGGTAACACGGGGATGAACTTCCTCATCACTGTACCGCTAGCTTGGGAACAATGTAAGTACGTAACATCATAATAGTACAAGTGCATTGAATGTGGAATGTATTCTTTTGTGGTAGGATGGACCATTCTTTCATCACAAGAATTTCATGCCATTATTGAACCATTATAAATTATTAGTTATTTTTTTTTTTGTTAGACCATGAGGTGTCCTAAGTAGGTCCTACTGTAGGAGGCATCTTAAGTTCGTACCATACTTAGACTAATCTCTATTTGTACCAAGTCAGTCCAATAAAGGAGCAAAGTACTGACTAGATTGATAAATTATTAGTTATATGTTTTTAAAAAAGATAAATTTTTCCTCGAAGTATATATAGCTTCCCCCCGTACTATTAGGACTCTATTATCCATATTAGACTAGGACTATATTATTCGTGTTAGACTAGGATTATATATAGCATCTCTATATATTCGCTCCCTGTACTCTCAGACATTATGATGGAATACAGAAAATATATTCCCATCTGGTATCAGAGCCAGGGTTTTCTTTTCCAACATTATTCATATCTGCGTGTTTTTGGGTGTTTATGCTTTCCAAATCTGCGTCCCTATAATCGCAACAAACTACAGTTTCGGTCATCCCCTTGTGTCTTTCTAGGATATCCTCCATCTTTTCGTGGCTATCGTTGTTTAGACACTAACAAGGTTTTTATCTGTCGCCATGTGCGATTCGATGAGGCTGTCTTTCCTTTTGTTGCCTCTGTGGATTCGCAGGTTCCAAAACCACGCTCGGAGCCGTGGGGTGTTGCACCAATTGTTTCTGGTGGTGATCCGACTATTGTCACGGCTCGTGACCCTCCTGCTGCGCCCATAGCCGCTTCTGACCACCACCGCCAGCAGTCTGCTACTGCCGAGCCCATGACCGAGTCCGAGCGGACAGTCACGGACCAACCGCCTGCTCGGCCGAGGGGTCGACCCCGTGGTCGATCCCGTCCCGCGCCCTCGCTCGTTCGGTCTCATACGATGAATACGCGGAGCTCGGGACCTCATGATCATGTTGCTCTATCTACTGACATCACTACTGAGCCTACATGTTTTACTCAAGCGGTCAAATTTCCTGAATAGCGGGATGCAATGGATTTGGAATTTAATGCCTTGGTGCACAACAATACATGGAGGCTTGTTCCTTTTAAATCAGGTATGAATGTGGTTGGTTGTAAGGGGGTGTTTAGAACCAAGAGGAAAGCTGATGGTTCGATTGAACGTTACAAGGCTCGTTTGGTTGCCAAGGGATTCAATCAGGTTGCTGGTGGGGATTTCTTTGAGACCTTTAGTCCCGTGGTTAAACCGACTACGGTACGTCTTATTTTATCCTTAGCTATTTCTCGTGGATGGACTATTCGACAGTTGGATATACACAATACTTTTCTAAATGGCAATCTCGCTGAGACGGTTTATATGCGCCAGCCCCCTGGCTATGAAGACAAAACGATGCCCGGGCACGTTTGTCTCCTTCAACGTTCTTTATATGGGCTTAAGCAAGCTCCCCGTGCTTGGTTCACTCGTTTGCATGATTTTCTGGTGTCTGCTGGTTTCTCACCTTCCAAAACGGATGTCTCTCTATTTATATATTCACATGGCAATACTCGTCTATATTTTCTGGTTTATGTGGATGATATTTTGGTTATGGGATCTGATCCGGCTCATGTGACTGCTCTTATTGACAAGTTGGCTCTTGAGTTTAAAGTTCGTGATATGGGTGCGCCCTCGTTCTTTCTGGGTATTGAGACCGTTCCGTTGTCTGATGGCATGTTTCTGTCTCAACAACGGTACATGAAGGATATTCTAAAACGAGCAGGTATGGTTGATTGCAAGCTCGTGGCTACTCCGGTTTCAACCACGAAGGCCGAGACTGATGTCGTGGTACCATACGCTGATCCCACTCAGTATCGCAGCTTTGCAGGTGCTCTGCAATATCTTACGGTAACTCGGCCTGATCTTTCCTATGCAGTCAATCGTTTGTGTCAGCACATGCACTCTCCCTCTACTGCGGATTGGGCGGCTCTCAAGAGGGTGTTACGGTATGTAAATGGGACACTACATCTTGGTCTTAAGATTATGTCTTCTCCTTCTCTAGATATTCATGCATATTCTGATTCGGATTGGGCTGGCAATCCTGATGATCGCAAACCTACTAGTGGTTTTGCTGTATTTTTGGGGACCAATCTTGTCTCATGGGTTTGTCGAAAACAACGTACTGTGGCTCGTTCATCAACTGAGGCTGAATACAAAGGACTGGCTGATGTCTCTGTAGAGGTTACTTGGCTCGTTTCTCTGATGAAGGAAATCGGGTTTGCGCCACCTTCTGTGCCCAAACTCTGGTGTGACAATCTGGGAGCTATTTATCTGTGTGCTAATCCGGTGTTTCATGTTCGCACCAAGCACATTGAGATCGACTACCACTTTGTTCGTGATAAAGTCGCGAAGAAGGAATTACAAGTCAATTTTATTTCTACCAAAGATCAGATAGCTGATATTTTTACTAAGTCTCTTTCGTCTGTACGTTTTAATTTACTCCGTTGCAAGCTCAATGTTTTGGCTGACCAACCTTGTGCTTGAGGGGGAGTATTAGGACTCTATTATCCATATTAGACTAGGATTATATTATCCATATTAGACTAGGACTATATTATTTGTGTTAGACTTGGATTATATCTAGCATCTCTATATATTTGCTCCCTGTACTCTCAGACATTATGATGGAATACAGAAAATATATTCCCATCCGCACCACCCAATTATATATGCATTTCATTTTTCACTCAATTGTCCATATAGTGATTATTTTTGTCCAAACATATGATCTATTTGCTGTACCCAAAATTCTAAAAAAATATGAGAATTTTTAAAGGAATATCAATTAAATATTTGAATGTTACTATTATTTTAATTAAAGCGTACAAAATAGACAATATAATTTCTCACAATTCTCGTTTCTAGACATGCAATTAGGATCCAGAAACAAGATTTTGGAGAAATTATCATATTTATTTCGTGCATTTGGATTAAATGAATGATGATATTGAAAGATTTAGCTAATATATATAAACAAAAAACTAGTGAGTTTTTAGGGTTTTGAATGCCAACAGTAAATAGTTAATAAATTTGGGTAAAGATAACTAATTCGATGATACTCGAGGGGGAAAAAGTATCATTTTTTCATTGAAAAATTATAAATAGTTAATATCAAATTAGAGACTCTTTGATAACGACTATCTTCATGAAAAAGAAAATAGTTAAAAAAAAAAAAAAAGAGTATGATAGCGGGTTCATGGAGTCGATGATAGAGTCTAGTGAAGCTGAAAAATATGGATTATAAAAAATAATAAAATTGTATTTCACTGAATAAAAAATAAAATCCTTGGAGATTACAATTCAAGATTGTCGGGCCTCTCTCGACAAAAGCATACCATGGGCCAGGCTTTCAACGGGCCAAACATTCTAAAAAGATAGATCAGGCGGATTGAATTGGGCGTAATTGAATAGTAGCCGTTAGGCCCATTAGTTTCGTTACTTAACGAAGACGCGGGAACAGAGGCGTACGGGGTGTCCCCGCCTCCCTCCGCTTTTTGGAGTCGTCTTCCAAGTTCCACCTGGAGAAGTAAAGCAAAGTGCGTTTCTTTCTGTCTCTCTCTCTCTTCTGTATATTATTATTATAGTATTAGTATATACGAGTGAGCGCTTTATTAGTTCAAAAAAGCTCTCACAAACCCATTTCTTAGTTAACAATATCTCTCTCTCACCTTTAATTTGCTCTACAGACGAGACGACAAACGAAATCGTCAGCATTATATTAAAGCAGAACCATCGCAATCCCCATTCTTTACTTCTTCGTTGAGTAATGAAAAGCTAAAGTTTCCCACTCATTTGCCTCGCAGTTCTCCAAAGTATCTGCCCCTTCATATATAAACCTCTCGCCGACTCCAATCCCCATGTTCATTTACGCTTTCTTCTTCTTCAATCCAGCTCTCTGGATTCAGAAGCCGAAGAAGAGAGGACATAATTGGTGTTGTGGATTATTATTGTTGTTTCTGCCGCTTTTCAATCTGAATACATGGCGAGTACTAGCGGGACCAAAGCGGATGTGGGCCCGCCGGGGAGGATGGCTTCCCGGCGGATGTCTAGGGCGCCCACCATGGTAGACCCCGCCGCCGGCGAAGACGAGAACACCCTTGACAGTGAGCTCGTCCCTTCCTCCTTGGCTTCCATTGCTCCCATCCTCCGTGTGGCCAACGAAATCGAGAAAGAAAATAGGAGAGTTGCTTATTTATGTAAGTATCATTTCTTTTTGTATTTCAAATGCTCAAATCAACCGTTATCGTTTACTCTGTGTGTATGCAAGTAAAGATGTAAAGCTGGTGATTAAATGTCTAATAACTGCAAATGGAAAGTCTTTGAAGTGGCTTGTAATTTTAGATCAAACTTTTTTAACTTTTTGTAATCTACATGAAAATTTGAATTTTCATTGCAAAATTTAGCCAATTCCCAATTTTGGCAATTGGATAAAAGAGAAACTGAAAGTTTTTGACTTGAATTGTAATCAGTCACAAGTTTTGCTTTTCCCAAAACACCACTTCTTACTTGTCTTAACTTCTTAACTACCTTTTTTCTTGAACTGCTAGAAGAATTTGCATTTGCCCTGTTGGCACTTTGAAAGACATGGTATTTGATATAAAATTTGGAAAGCAATTAAATGAGAATTTACCGTGATGAGATTAATTTGGATTATTGTTAACTTGTTTGTTAACAATAATTTAAATAATGTGTTACTTTCACTTCTTCATAAGTGAGTTTAGGTGGATGGAGTGGTTTTTTAATGTTATGGATATTCTTTTCTTCTTTAACTCAATTTTTATTTCTGAAAAGGCCGATTTCATGCATTTGAGAAGGCTCATAGGATGGATCCAACATCAAGCGGACGTGGTGTTCGTCAGTTCAAGACTTACCTGCTACATAGACTTGAAAGGGTATACCCATTATGTTCAATTTTATGTTTGTCTCTTTATGCATCTATTATGTTCTTTATTTGTATATATTTTCCATTTTCTGCTCTACAAATTCCATATATTTTAAATTTCTTAACTAATTTAATGGCAACATTTGATTATGTTGTCTCAAAATTACTAAATCATCCCAGATTACCACAATCATTACGTGATGAGTGCAAATTGGGATCTCAAGAGACCATCTGGCCCTCTGTGAATAGCAAAAGGCTTATCTGCGTTAGATAGTAGAATCCAATAGGTGCTAAGCTGCTGAAGTTTTAGTATTTATAAATTAAAATGTATATTCATTATTCAATAATGTACACAATCTGTGGTTAAAGTATATATTATGTTTGTACACCAATAATAAAAATAACATTGGCAAGTGTCACTGAGACTAGTGGGATGATACTATATGTAGAGGGCCTTGCTCTCTCTTGTGTGTTTTAAAGCCTTGGTGGAACTTGTCAGTCATTGCCTGTCATCCCAAATCAATCTATTGTAAATCTTCTTGAATTGTGGTTTATCAGCATAATTAAATTCCTTCTTGTGTCTGTGGTCCACTGATTTTAATGCTGGATACATATCTGATACCTGAATATCTAATACCTATCTAGTAAGCCCGAGCTGACCATGTTGACAATTTATTTTTGTAGGAAGAAGAAGAGACAAAACCTGTGCTTGCAAAAACTGATCCCAGAGAAATTCAAAAATTTTACCAGAACTTCTATGAGAAAAATATCAGAGATGGCCAACAAACAAAAAAACCGTGAGGCTTGCTCAGAATTTCTTTTGCAGCTTTGTCTCTCATTCTAATATAATTTCCTAGTTTTTTTTTTTTTTTTTAAGTTAAAAATTTTTAAAATTCCTTACTTTCTATTGCAGAGAAGAGATGGCTAAGATATATCAAATTGCAAGTGTGTTGTATGATGTGCTGAGAACAGTGGTGCCACCTTCAAAAGTGGATGAACAGGTTTGATCTATTTACTTTGCAATCTTTTGGATATATTCCACCTATGAGTTAGGTGAACTCCTTACTTATTTTTGCATCATACTTGTAGACACAAAGGTATGCCAAAGATGTAGAGGAGAAAAGAGAATACTATGAGCACTATAACATTCTCCCTCTTTATGCTGTTGGAGTTAAACCTGTGATAATGGAACTTTCTGAGGTAATTTGTAGTTGGATTGTAAGCATAGTTCATTAGGAGTCTCTTAAGTAATTGATGGAATATAAGGGTCCTTCTTCTTGCTCCCTATGTAACTTAATGCTTCATATTTATCTAAATATACTTGCTTGTTCTGCCTTTCTTAAACAGATCAAAGCAGCACTTCGAGCTATCCGTAATATGGATAATCTCCCCATTATCCGAACTCATGATGGCAGTAAGGATAAATCAACAAACGACATCCTTGAATGGCTGGCTTCAGCCTTTGGATTCCAGGTAATTTGAATCTCCCCTTATTTTCTTCATCCAATCTAATATGATAGTCTCTTTAAAATTTGAATGTCCAAAATCCCATCTTTTAAAGACTAATAAAAATGACAGCCACCAAAAGAGCAATCTCATTCTTTACGTGATGCTTTGTACTTCAAACTTTTCTTCTTATTTTTTGTTTCCTGATCTTTGTGGAGTGAAGAAAGGAAATGTAGCAAATCAACGGGAGCACTTAGTACTGATGCTTGCAAATATGGACGTCAGAAATAAGAGCTTAGAGGATCATGAAAACTATGACCAAGTAATTGACCTTTTCAGTAATTCCTTAGTTCATCATTAAGATGAATAATTGCATGTTGAAGTCAAATCTTTTGCTCTTCTTATATGGTGGTTTGTAGCAAGAGATTTCTCACCCTAGGCTTGTGTGTTAGATTTGGAAAAAAAAATATTATTTATTTTTATTTTATGCAGTTGGATAGCTTCACAGTTCGGCAATTGAAGGAAAAGATATTTAAAAATTATGATTCATGGTGCAAATATTTGCATTGCTCATCAAATCTCAAGTAAGTTGTGTACATCAAATCTCAAGAAAATTTGAAGTCAATCCTTCTCTGTTTTACTAAGCTAAGTACATCTTGCAATTCAGATTTCCACCGGGTTGTAACCGGCAACAGCTGGAGCTTGTTTACATTGGACTTTATCTCCTTATCTGGGGTGAAGCTTCAAATATCCGATTCATGCCAGAATGTCTCTGCTATATATTCCACAATGTAGGTTAACCTTTTATGTTAAGTATGTTACTATAAACTATGAAACATTGAAATCCATAGAGTCATGCAGTACTGTATAATAATTTTTTATTTTCTATTTTCAGTTTAAAAAATCATCTTATTAACATCATTTAATGCAAAAGCAGCAAACCATATTGAGTACTTAACTGTACTGGTCAAACCTATATTGAGTTATTTTATTGTTAATTGTGATGTATCTAACCAGATAAAGGCAATTATATGGGAGAAGCCATATTGGCATACTCTCCTGGCAGCCAAAGATGGTAAAAAAAGAAAAAAAGAAGTGGGGCCAAATGAATCGCAGAACAGTTTATTTATTTATTTTTAAGAAGAAATAAGTTAATGCCACATGGGGAATGAGTTAATCACCTACAACTTCATATTTTATACATACACACAAATTATTATTCAATGTTTTATAACTTACACATCATCCCATATAAAAAAGAGTGTTTTTGTTGGTTGACATCTGATGTAAAACTTAACCACTTCTGTATGAAATGACACCACTAGATTGGGATTAAATCTTTGTTGAGTTATGTTAGTATTTTAGAGCTTAGATGACATCCTGACTCTGATGTTCTTGAATGTATTGCACAATTTGGTGGGTAAAATTCTTGGACATAAAAATCTTATAATGCAGCATCATTCAAAATACTAAATTGCAGTATTGCGGTGATGCACTTTCTAAGTCTTGTGGGTGATGCTGATTTGTTGCTTTTAACCACACGGATGAAAAATAGTACCTTTTTTTTCATAAATGTAGATGGCTCGTGAGGTTTATGGAATTTTATTTGGCAATGTTGGTCATGTCAGTGGAGGTTCATATCAGACAGTGCCTCATGGTGAGGAATCATTCCTAAAGAATGTTGTGACCCCTATTTATGAAGTGATACGCAAGGTAAGTTATGTTTTTGTGATATTGACTGTAATCAATGATCTTTTATGACCTAAACTGAATAACTTTTGTCGGAAAAGGAAGCTAGGAGAAATAAAGATGGGAAAGCAAGTCATTCTGCATGGAGAAATTATGATGATCTAAATGAATACTTCTGGTAACTCTTCTCATAATTAAAGTTTGGTCCTATTCTCTAATAAATTTCCAATTGTAAATTTACTTTTCTCCAATTGTTGGGTCCTTTCATCAGGTCTGATAAATGTTTTAAGTTGGGATGGCCAATGAACAAAAGTGCTGATTTTTTTGTGCACTCAGATGACAAACATAAAGCAAATGCAGTAAGTATGCATTGTATTTGTAATTTTGTATACATTTATATACACCACATTTCTAGTTAAAAGTAGCTAAAATATGGAGTAGAGGCACTAGTTGACACTCGACAGTTGATAAGTTATTCGATTAGCACTCTAAAATGCATAAGAATTAGTTTGTTAAGCCTCATATAAATGGTCTAGATTTCCATGTATGTACTACAATCAGTTACTAGTTGTATTTGATAACAGTTTACCAATTTTTCTTTTAATGATTATGTTATTGGCAGTTTTGCCTTTTATAAAAAATTGTTACTTACCAGCCTTGACTCTCCAGGGACCAAACCAGGTTGCTACAGGAAATAGGAAGCCTAAGACAAACTTTGTTGAAATTCGTACATTTTGGCACCTGTATAGGAGTTTTGACCGCATGTGGATATTCTTTGTATTGGCTCTTCAGGTATCTTGAGAATAGCTGAACTAATTTGTAGTTTAAAATTTTGTTTTTGGCACTTATGTATAAGATGTTTGCAGATCTTTGTTCCCTCTTGTGAGCTACTAACAGAAATTAAAGAAGATCAAGTTTAGTTAAATCAGAAAAAAACCAGGGGAATAAAGACTGAAGATAGATAAATCTAATAAGTGTAGACAAGCGAGAAATAAAATCTTTCCATATGTGACAACCTATGGCAGCTTAGGACTTTTAGTAATCCAGTGGTGCTGTTTTGAGTTGGCACATGGCCTTTCTTTAATATGAGACACCATTCTTTCGCTTTCCGGAGCATATATTTATACTTTAAATTTTTTCTCTCTTTTCTTTTGTGTACATCTATTGCGGGTGCAGGGGTGGGGGGTTGAACTCCTAACCTTGAGGTTTCTCTTTCACTACTTGAGCTAAGGGTCATAGGTGCTACTAACTGGAGAAGTGAGCCTTTTGGGAACAATAATTTAATTTCTATTCAAATTTCTATTTGTTGTTTGAAGACCACCAACTGTCCTAGAGGAATATTTATCTGGCTTTGCAACTTGGCCTCTTAACTAAAAAACACTCAATGACACTGGAAAAGACTGGACCTACAACCAAAGAGCAAATGTTTACTGAAATGGATGGCAAAGCCTGGATATTGAATCATCTTCAAGACTGAGACAAGTAAAAAGTACTACAAGCATGTAATTTGTTTTTGATAAGTGACTCAAAGCTTGTTCCCCAATTATCTATAGTAGGAATTTTCTCCTAAACTATACAGGGAAGGACATGAAGGATCAGTGGAATAGAAACTGTGAAACTCAAGAAAAATTTAATTGAGCACTTCGTAACTGTCTTATTTCTCTATCTCCTCATATCTTCTCCCACACTCCTCCCACTCCACTTCCAATAATTAAAAATTCATAATGGTAAAACAAATTTAATCTCTCCTTTAAGCATCATGTTTCATGTACTGTCAATAATTTTTTCTCCCTTTATTTTTGGGTTTCCAGGCGATGATTATTATTGCATGGAACCACTCAGGATCCATTTATGACATTTTTGATGAGGACATGTTTAAAAGCATTTTGAGTATTTTTATAACTGCTGCTATTCTGCACTTTTTACGAGGTATTTAGGATAACTTCTTCTTTTGGATGTTATACTTTGTGTTAAATTGGAGTTACTCCTGTTCTCTTTCAGTATGATATAATTTACATTCTTGTTAACATTTGCAGCTATTTTGGACATAATCCTTAGCCTTAATGCCTGGAGGAGCTTGAGATTTACCCAGATACTTCGCTACCTTCTGAAATTTGTGGTTGCAGCATTCTGGGTTGTTGTTATGCCTATCACTTATTCTAAATCTATCCAGAATCCTACAGGAGTTGTGAGATTTTTCAACAATTTGGGAGGGGATATACCAAACCAATCATTATACTACTATTGTGTTGCAATCTACTTGCTACCAAACATATTGGCTGCATTCCTATTTCTCTTTCCTGTTGTGCGTAAATCCCTCGAAAAATCAAACTGGCACATTGTTGGGCTTCTTATGTGGTGGTCTCAGGTCAGCAACATCTTTCTTTTGCTACTTCCTTGTAAATATAGTACTTCTACACAATTATTCTAATACTGGCTCTTTAAATTCCAGCCAAAGTTGTATGTAGGAAGAGGGATGCATGAAGACATGTTCTCTCTTTTCAAGTAAGAAGCAATTCTTTTGTTTGTAGATACACCTAGATGCATATAAATTTCTAGCTTTCGAATTTTCCTTTCTTACATACTGTTGAAGCAGAGAAGGGCTTGGAGTATGGAGATGGGCATGAGTTTGAAGTCATTATTTCTCAAGGAGCTATAGGGTTTCTTTAATGCGTTCTTTTCCACTGTTCTCTCAGGTACACATTTTTCTGGATCATGCTACTCATCAGCAAGCTAGCATTCAGCTATTATGTGGAGGTATTTATTGTCTTAAATTATCATTATTCAAGGATCTTGATCTCTTAAGATGCTAGAAAGCAAATTTTGTTGATATCAGATAGTGTATTTCTCCCTATATGTTGACCTCGTCCATGGATGTCTCCTAGGCGATGTGTCATTTTTCTATCACAAGTACTTGGTAATTGTGAATTGTTTTTGTCTGTTCACTTTGCATAAAATAGGCACAACACATTTCTTGGTTTGAGGTGTTCATTTAACTGGAATGCACATAAATTATTTCCCCCCAAAAAAAAACACATTTTTATGCTTGGATGCATTAAATGTTTTACGCCTCAAAAGTCATGTAAATTGTTTTACGTATAGAATCTTCTCCAAAACCCTTGAACATGACTTTCTTCCTGATATGAACCAACTAGAGCTCACAGCTCTTACCAATCACTGCTAGCCTACACTGGAAAAACCTAGTGCGAACATTAGATTCCTTTTTTCTTCTCCTTTTGCCCTTTTCTCCCTGTGTGCCAGAAAATGGTGACAGGCTGACAGCAATGAGAATTATTTTGGGTACATATATAGCAACTGTACTGGAAAATTGGTCTTTTCATGAATTTTGCATTTTGAAGTTCATAAAACACAACAAAACACAGAAGAGCTTTTAAAAGCTTATCCCAGCTAAACATTTTCCTTTTTCCCATTTTTCATACTCAAAGTGAAAGAGGCCTTGGGTATACTTTTGTGAAGATCATATTATGCAAATCTCTTATGGTGGTGGACTGTTAAATGTAACTTGGTCATTCTTCTTTCTTTTTGTGTTTTGCCCCTGCAGATTTTGCCATTAGTTCAACCTACAAAAACAATTATGGATATTAGAGTGACGAACTATGAATGGCATGAATTCTTTCCAAATAGTAATGTCTTACTTTCGCACTTATCATTCTTAAGGTTTGCTGTTTGCATATGATCACACTAATTTACATTTACATGTGATGCAGTGACAAATAATATTGGTGTTGTGATTGCTATTTGGAGTCCAATTATTCTGGTATGTGGTGGAAAGAAAAAAAAAAAAACATAGAATAGGAATTTAACTCCATATGCTAAGAAATGAATTTGCATGTAGGTCTATTTCATGGACACACAAATATGGTATGCTATATTTTATACAATTGTTGGAGGGATCACCGGTGCATTCAGTCACCTTGGTGAGGTAATTGTTATTCTCTCATAAAATCTAGATCCTTTATTGGATTTGTACATGTCTTTTTCTTGCTTCTGATAGAACTGTAATATTTGTTTCCTTTACTCTTTAATATTTCCTTTCTAGTAGATAAGAACACTTGGGATGTTAAGGTCTAGATTTGTATCTATTCCTTCAGCTTTCAGTGAACGCCTGGTGCCATCTTCAAAAGAGGAGCTCAGAAAACGTAGAAGAGTATAACAATGTTTCCTTATCCTTATTTTTTAATACATGTGCCTTGAATTAAAGTGCTCCCACCGGGCCTTTCTGTTTAATAGATCTTGACATTCCATTCTTTTGTTTGAATTATCATTGCTGTGCTAGGACGATGCACTGGAACGAAAGAACATTGCAAAGTTCTCTCAGATGTGGAATGAGTTCATAGTATCAATGCGGATGGAGGACTTGATTAGCAATAGGTTGGCATTGTTTGCCTTGACTTTGTGTTATGATTATGCATTTACTCCATCGGACAAATGCCATGGAGAGATAATTGTATGTTAAGCACCTATTGCATCCCCAAACATGAAATGCTATCAAGTTAAAATAAATTTTTGTTGACACCATTTGCCAGGGAAAGGGATCTTCTTCTTGTGCCATATTCATCAAATGATGTTACTATTACTGTTATCCAGTGGCCTCCTTTCTTGCTTGCTAGTAAGGTGAGAACATTATTACTATTGTCAATGTGTATTAAAGCTAGTTTTGTTTTTGACTTGTTACTGTATTGGTTATCCTCATTAGATCCCAATAGCACTGGACATGGCAAAAGATTTTAAGGGGAAGGAAGATGCTGATCTATTCAGGAAGATTCAGAGTGATGAATTTATGTTTTCAGCCGTGATTGAAAGCTATCAAACACTCAATTATTTGTTGCATAAAATACTGGATTCTCCAGAAGACAGAAGGTAAGGCAAATTCCAATCACTGGTAAAGTCATTTCTTGAACCCCACCCCCGAAAAAAAGTGCCAAATAGATATAACCATACATGACTACACAAGAAGAATATTTTTATCACCTCTAAATTGAGAAGCATTTGTAATTATCTCTCTTCTGACAAGCTATATGGCTGCTTGGGTTTTGGAATCTTTACAGGATCATTGATCAGATTTGTAAAGAAGTAGAGGACAGCATAAAAGGGAAGCATTTTCTTAGAAATTTCCGGATGAGTGGATTGCCTATACTGAACAATAAGTTGGAGAGATTTTTAGATCTTCTGGTTAGTTTAATTTAACTCTTGTCAAAGTTCTGCCTTAAGCATTCAAATTCTTCTTTCCAGAAAAAATCTAGAAAGTTTGCTTGTATTATTCATGCAATTGATGCACAATTAATTTTCAATCTAACAGGTAACTGATTATGAAGATGAGGAGCAGAAAAAATCACCGCTGATAAACCTCCTCCAGGATATTATTGAAATTATCACTCAGGATGTGATGGTTAATGGCAATGTGTGAGTTTTTGAGATAACTCGTTCCTAGATGGCATGAACTTATCTGAGTAGCATACCTTTCCTTTATGGATCTGTAATTTAAAACGTGCTTTCAAATATCTCTTATTTGTAGAATCATGGAAGGAGCCCACCACCATTATGAAAATGACAGGGAGGAAAAGTTTCAGAGGATAAACATTCACTTTACTCAGAACAGGTCTTGGATGGAAAAGGTAACCTGGCCTCTAGGAACCTGCTTTGAGATTCTTTCTTTCCTGTGCTTCCCTTAAGTAAATGACCCGTCTTTGTCTTTCCGTTTCACTCCTTTACAGGTTACCAGGCTACATTTGCTATTGACAGTTAAGGAGTCTGCAATAAATGTGCCAATGAATTTAGAAGCTCGTCGCAGAATCACCTTTTTTGCAAACTCTTTATTTATGAAAATGCCATCTGCTCCAAAAGTTCGTAATATGATATCTTTCAGGTCCATTTCCAAATCTCAAATAAGGGGTTTTTCTTACTTGGGTGTTGAATGTTTATTTTTACCTTTGTTGATGCTGCTTTTTGTTTTTTGGTCTGGTGGTGCCATATTACCAGTTTTAACATTCAAGAGAGTTCATAAATAATTCAGTAATGATCATTTGTCAGCTCTTTTATACAAAAACTTAAATCCTTGAGGCAGCATCTCTTTGTCAGGACTACATTTATTTGCTTTTCACATCACTTTAAGTTGATTGCTCTAATTTAGTTGTAAATTTTTGTGACTCCCTCAATTAAAATTAAAGGTATGACCAAACAAGTAAATAACAGGATCACTGAGGATAGTTTGGGAAAGAGGATACACAAAAAAAATGTCAATTTACGGAAAGTGGACAATTACAAATTATCAGGATAATTTTTTTGCTTCATTTTCTTTTAATTATTTCAAGATATCAATATATTGGGACATAATAAATTAATAATGTTCTAACCAGAGAGTTCCTTTGAATATAGGAGCATCCAGCCTTAAGAGAAGTTATTTTCTTAAATCATGTATAAGCACATATATACTTACAAATAAATTGTAATATTTGCTTGGTAGGTGCTCCATATTTTATATAAATATTATATATCTCTGTGTATGGGCATTTGTTTTGCAATTCATTCTAATTTAAATACTCTGCATCATTCAGTGTTCTAACTCCATATTATAAAGAAGAAGTTATGTATTCTGAGGAGGAGCTTAACAAGGAAAATGAAGATGGCATATCAACTCTCTTTTACCTTCAGAGGATCTATCCAGGTGAGTTTTAAACCTATATAGCAGAACATTTGTGTTTTCAGGCGCCCCTCACTAGTTGAAATTCAGTTTTGCTACATTGAAGTTGCTCTAACTCTTTTAATCTTATCCTGGTACCACACTAGATGAATGGAAAAATTTCCAGGACCGAATTCACGATCCAAAATTGAAAACTGAAGATAAAGAGGAGATGGAATTGACTCGGCAATGGGTGTCCTACAGGGGCCAGACACTAGCAAGAACTGGTTTGACTTGAACTAAACTTTCATATTGAGATTACTTACATGATTGTACAGTCATTAATTACTTAATATCCATTTTATACATGTTTCTGCTGGATGGTCAGTAAGAGGAATGATGTACTACAGGGAAGCTCTTGAGCTTCAGTACTTCCTGGACTTTGGCGAGGATAAAGGTCTGACTTTTACTTGACATCTAGTGTTGTAACTTGTAACTCAATATTGTCCACCTTTTAGTTTTCCTTTCACTAACAATATTTATACAACTCCTAGTTGAAGATAGTAGTCTATAGAATAACCCTTCAATGTCTCCTTGCAGATATATTTCGTGGTTATCGTAGTACAAATCAATCTGACTACAAAGTGCTGAAGGAACGTGCACAGGCATTGGCAGATTTGAAGTTCACCTATGTTGTCTCTTGTCAGATTTATGGTACTCAGAAGAAATCCAAGGATGCAAAAGAACGTAGTTGTTATGTTAATATTCTGAATCTCATGTTGGCGTAAGTTGCATTATCATAGTATTCTCACCATTTACAAATAATGATTTGAAATTTAGAGAATGTTGATGGAATTTGTAATCTCACAATGACAGGTATCCATCTTTGCGCGTTGCTTATATTGATGAAAGAGAAGAGACAATTCAGGGTAAAAAAACAGAGAAGGTTTACTATTCTGTTCTTGTCAAGGGAGGAGACAAGTTGGATGAGGTATTAGTTAATTAACTATATAAACATGAAACAATATAAGTATCATTTCCAGAAAGAATAGTGTTCTGTAGAACCCTTTCTTTCAAATGTCATACTATTGGCAGAGCTTTTAACAATCCTTACATAATCCAAAACTAGGAAATATATCGAATCAAGCTTCCGGGTCCTCCAGCAGTAATTGGGGAAGGAAAACCTGAAAATCAAAACCATGCCATTATTTTCACTCGTGGAGAAGCCCTGCAGACCATAGACATGAATCAGGTATGAGAAGCTTTTCTCTTTCTTAAAAGAATTATAAGCAGAAGTCTTAATGCTTTTCTCTTTCCAGGATAATTATTTTGAAGAAGCCTTCAAAATGAGGAATGTATTGGAGGAGTTTCTAAAATCTCATCATGGGCAACGAAGGCCAACAATATTAGGATTAAGGGAGCACATTTTTACTGGAAGGTTTGTATTTGAGTTGATCTTAATCACAGTCTGAGATGTTCAATTACTTATAAGAGTACTTATTTGTGCTTTCAATGATTGCTAGTGTCTCTTCACTTGCCTGGTTCATGTCCAATCAGGAGACCAGTTTTGTAACTATTGGACAAAGAGTTTTGGCAAGCCCTTTAAGGTTAGCATTTTCTCCCTCTTCCCAAAATTTCAAAGTGATCTTGCGTGGTAGAGATGACAATATGACATTAATATCCAGTATGCTGCTCATATTTACTTGCCTGGCCACATTAGATTCAATTTTACATATATTTTAAATTCCCGAAAATAAAGCTTGAATATGAAAGAAGTAACAGTCTTTGTTTCACAGGGTGAGGTTCCACTATGGTCATCCTGATATATTTGACAGGATCTTTCATTTGACAAGGGGTGGCATGAGCAAAGCCTCGAAAATTATTAATTTGAGTGAAGACATATTTTCAGGTGACATTCTTTTTTGTGATGGACCGCACTTTAACAAGCACCATTCAGTGTTTTAATGGGTTAACATCTTCAGGTTACAATTCAACTTTACGAGGAGGATATGTGACGCATCATGAATACATTCAAGTAGGCAAGGGTCGTGATGTGGGGATGAATCAGATATCTCTCTTCGAGGCAAAGGTTGCAAATGGAAATGGAGAACAAACGCTTAGCCGTGATGTATACAGGCTTGGACGTCGGTTTGACTTCTATAGGATGTTATCATTCTACTTCACCACTGTTGGTTTCTACTTTAGTAGCATGGTATGTAAGATTATGGTTCTTAGTATCATTCGTTCTTGTGATTGACACAAAAATATGCAAGAAATTGGAGTTACGTTATTATTAACATTTCTTTTCCAGGTCACTGTGCTTACTGTTTATGTATTTCTATATGGCCGTCTCTATATGGTGTTGAGTGGATTGGAAAAGCGGATTTTGGAGGATCCTTCTGTTCGTCAGACTAAAGCTCTCGAAGAGGCTTTGGCCACCCAGTCGGTGTTTCAGCTAGGATTGTTGCTGGTGTTGCCTATGGTGATGGAAATTGGGTTAGAGAGAGGATTCCGTACTGCCCTAGGTGATTTCATAGTAATGCAATTGCAGCTTGCTTCTGTTTTCTTCACGTTCCAGCTCGGAACAAAAGCACATTATTATGGTAGAACACTTTTGCATGGAGGTTCTAAGTACCGAGCTACTGGTCGCGGTTTTGTTGTTTTCCATGCTAAGTATGCTGATAACTACAGAATGTATTCACGCAGTCACTTTGTGAAGGGGCTTGAGCTGTTGATACTGTTGATTGTTTATGAAGTGTATGGGGAATCTTATCGGAGTTCCAAGCTGTACTTCTTTATAACTGTTTCAATGTGGTTCTTAGTTGGTTCATGGTTGTTTGCTCCTTTCGTGTTCAACCCATCTGGATTCGATTGGCAGAAAACAGTTGATGATTGGACAGACTGGAAGAGGTGGATGGGAAACCGTGGTGGCATTGGAATTTCTCCCGATAAAAGTTGGGAATCCTGGTGGAGTGGAGAACAAGAGCATCTGAAACACACAAATATAAGGGGTAGACTGCTCGAGATAATCCTTGGACTTCGGTTTTTCATCTACCAATATGGAGTTGTCTATCACCTTGATATAGCCCACGGAAGCAGGAATTTACTGGTAACACTGCTGCTGCTGCTGCAATTGTTTTATTTCTATTTCCTTTATGAATGTCAACCTTGAGCTTGTTATCTAAATTTTCATAAAATCATTTGTGACAGGTTTATGGACTTTCTTGGTTTGTTATGGTTACTGTTCTTCTGGTCTTGAAGGTATGTACTATGCTTCTTCTATATTAGCATTTTTCTCTAAACTAACTAATGCTGCAAGAACCTTAATCATCTGTAGCTGCTGAACAGATCTTTTTTATCTTAAAAAGGAAAGAACAAATCGCACGACCAAAAGTTTTACGTTTTCTGATATTACATTTTGTTTACAACAGATGGTGTCAATGGGAAGGCGAAGATTCGGCACTGACTTTCAGCTGATGTTCAGAATTCTCAAGGCACTTCTGTTTCTTGGTTTTGTATCTGTCATGACTGTGCTTTTCGTGGTCTGTGGCCTCACCATAAGCGATATATTTGCTGCTCTTCTTGCGTTCTTGCCCACAGGCTGGGGTCTTCTTCTTGTAAGTTCAATCTAATCTATCTCCATTCTTATTTCTCTAAGTTGAGACTGAACGCATCTTTGGTTTTTGTTTGTGTAAAGATTGGTCAAGCATGCAAGCCGTGTCTGAGTCGAGTTGGAATATGGGATTCAGTGATGGAGTTGGGGAGAGCATATGAATGCATCATGGGACTTATCATCTTCATGCCTACAGTGGTGTTATCATGGTTCCCATTTGTCTCAGAATTCCAGACCAGGTTGCTCTTCAACCAGGCCTTCAGCAGAGGTCTCCAGATTTCCATGATTCTTGCAGGGAAGAAAGCATCTGTCTGATTTCTTTTTTTCTTCTTTTCAGATTACAAATAGTTTCTCAATCGTCTTTAAAACTGTAGGTTATTATTGACATTTCAATAGGAAATAGGGGTACTTTTAGTATATGATTTATTTAGTTCTTGTAAACAATTCTTTAAAGTTGCTGAAATTACAACATTTTTTTAAAAAATACAAAATATTAAAAACAAAATCAATTATGAAAGACATAAAACATGAAAGTTTCTTATTATAAATCTCGAATAGTTTTTTTTTTTTTTCCTTTTTAAATGATAAAAAAAGATAAGTAACTTCTAACTTATTACTTTTCTTCCCCTTTCTTAATGAAATGACCTTTCTTTATCAATTTTTGATTAGAGATTAAGAGAGTGTTTGGGTTGCTGGAAAATATTTTAAAAATAAAAATACTTACTAATAAAAAAATAATTTTAAAATATTTTTTAATCCCTAAACATGAGAAAATTTTATATTTAAAAAAAAATACAATTTGATAAATATCATAAATTAATTATTGCAATATCATTTATGTTTATAATGAGAATAATTAAAGAAAAAATAAATAATTCAAATATGTGAACCAAAGATTTCAAAATGAAATTAATATACAGTTACAAATAAATATAGCATGATTAGATTTACTTTAATTAGTTTTAATTTCCTTAATGAAATGACTTTTCTTTATCAGTTTTGTATGCGAGACTAAGGGAGTATTTGGGTTGTTGAAAAATATTTTAAAAATAAAAACAATTTTAAAATATTGTTTTAACCCCTAAACATGCAAAAATTTTATATTTTAAAAAAAGATACAATTTGATAAATATCATAAATTAATTCTTGCAATATCATTTATGTTTACAATGAGAATAATTAAAGAAAAAATAAATAATTTAAATAGTTTAAAAATTATGAATATATAATTTTATAATTATGAACATATAGTTCAGTAATTATGAACATAGAGTTCTGTAATTGTGAATATAGAGTTCAATGGTTATGAACATGAAGTTCAAAGATTATGAATATATAGCTTTATAGTAATTAACATATAGTTCAGTAATTATGAACATAGATCAATTAATACAAATCATAAATACTAATATATAAAATCTCTAAAATTGCAGCACCGAATATGTATATCTACACGTTAGTTATTAATTTGATAATTATTTGCTCGAATTTAAGCAATGATAACATCAGAAAACATAATCGGTGCAACTCAATTCTTCAATTATATTATATAATATTCGATATTCGATGTTATAATTTATACAATTGTATATTGATCTAAATATTTTTAAAATACTATAACAAATTCATAAAATACTAGTTTTTATTAAAAAAAAAAAAAAAAAAAAAAAACAGACATGAAAGTGATGGAATTATCAATTATGGAACTAAGAAGTTTCCTATTAGGGAGTATAAATCATTAAATCTAGAGAGAAAAAGAAAATATAGTACAAAATTAGGAAATAAAATCACAATTCAAGAATTTACAAATTTGGCAGGTTTTAACTAAAAAAAAATAAAATTTGGCAGGTGAATTTTGTTTATAAAGGCATTAACTCATTAAGGGCAATATCGACCTTTGCTTCTCTTCTACGCGGTTCAGCAATTCTCTCTCGCCTCCGCCGTCGGCAACATTCCGAGGAAGAGATTGAAATTCAGAGAGAGATGATGCGAGGAACAGGGAAGAAGAAGATTGAAATCAAGAAAATAGAGAAAGAGTCATCACGAATGGTGACATTCTCTAAGAGACGTAGTGGTCTGGTCAAGAAAGCTGTGGAACTAGAAGACAAGACGGGAGCCCGTGTGGCCTTGGTGGTTTTCTCCCCCAGAGATCACGTCTACACTTACGGCGACATTCCCGCCATGTCCGACCTTGTCGAGAGGATCACCAACAACTCCAATGCCGCCATGTCCGACCTTGTCGAGAAGATCACCAACAACACCAGCATCGTTCCTTACGACGCCGGCCAAATGCAGGACAACGGTTCCACTTCAGGTTCCGCTTCGGGTTCAAATTACACAAATCTAATGAACTGGGTGGATAGCATCGACATTGAAGGATGTAACAATTTGGAAGAAACCTTGAAGTTGAAGCAAATTTTGGAAGTCCTTCTGCAAGACTGAAGATCATTGCTCCGGAAGATGAAAATTTTGAATAAAAAGATGCTTTTTTTTTTAGCTACTTGTGTATTGGCAGCACTAGAATGAGATTAAATCTTTTGAGATGTTCATTCATTAGTAGTTCAAGAATCGAATAAAAATATGTTTTTTTTTCCAGTAATTTTAAAATTGTTAAAACATATTTATAGTGCAAGTAGAAAATAGATTACCCATTTTTTTTCTGTTTCTCAATTATTCAAGAAATTTGGAAATTTTAACAAGGTATTAATATTCCAATATTATTCAGAAGACAATATAGTGTGAAATTGAGAAAATTTTGCAGGCAATAGCTCAAGAAGACAGGGTTCAAAATGTCAAATCTTAAGAATCGACTAATGTCTTGTTTTGAGTCAAGTAATTACAATTATTGGCATATAATGTTTATGTGGTCAAAACTTGTGTTGACCAATAGATATAGACACTTATACAGCATCAGCTCATATGACTAAACCTATAATTAAAAAAAAAAATTACCCAAAAATTTAGTATAATAGTTATAAACTTTACTGTTTTCCAATGGCCTTGTAGCCTAGTGTCATTGAGTGACTCTTTCAAATAAAAAATCACGTCCAACTAGCGCGCAACCTGACGAGATTACAATGGAAACAACATTATCTAAGGAATCAGTAAAATTTCACCGGGGAGGAATAGAATCGAGTCCAGTATAACGAATAGAATATCAAGGCTACATAGAATCGTCAAAAAAAAAAAAACATCAAAACATTTAGAAATCAAGGCTATGATTGCATACCTCCATAAAGAACCCATGGTAAAACCAAGTAAGCCATGCATTAGCTGGATAGGGGAAAGGGGGTGAAGAAAATAAATCAGTGACCTGAACATATCATTCAGCAAATGTATAGTGTATTGTATACAAATATAAGACCTGCACCAAGCTGTATAGCCATCATAACTAAGAAAAGATAATGGAATTGCGGAGTCTGGAAATTTCACTACATGCACATCTTCATAGTTCTATTATCATTGCTCACCATATAGTTAACTGCTTTCACTGGACCAGACAGGACAAACAGTAGCACAACGGTTGCCACCTAAGAAGATCAAAAAATTATATCATATTTAGTCCATACATATATATCTTAACTCTGTCGTCTTCTCCCTGCCATTTCATATTTATACAACATCATACCATCTTCCAGTAGCAGCAAAGAAAGAAGCAAAATATAAACACACTTAATTGGTTTCTGAGGCCAAGAGATCAGTACCCCTTTTCTCTCTGATCTAGTTTTCTCGGAGACATGGGAAAGAAGACAATGAGCAAAACATGTTCACAGTCGCAGAAAACATCGAAGAATCATGACAAGCTTAACAGCTTGATCAACTTCTTGAAACCCAAAGTTTACATCACAGATTCTTCAAACTTCAAGAGCCTGGTTCAAGAACTCACCGGAAATGGAACTCATCCCGACTCCTCACCTTCGCCTGCTATTCCACAGCCATTTGAGGCTTCTGTAATGCCTGCAGTTATTCATGATGTTGAAGGAGACCAAACTTATCAAGAAAATGGGATTGAGGAGTTATCAGAAGGAAGCGGTCAAATAGAAAGTTCCATGGTTCCATGCATACAAGAACCTTTCGCCAGGTTGGATAACTTTGCACAGTTTAAGGATTTCGAGTCTTGGCTCCTGGAAACGGACTTGGATCGCTATGATGATGCCTATGCTCCCATGATTCAGCATGACCTGCAAGATGTTTCTGTCTTTGACAGTTATGATATACCCTGCTTATTTCTTGATGATAATTACCAAATCCAGTACTAGGAAATCACCATGTGTAGTTCGTTTTCCTGTTTTCAAACGGTAGATAATGAAGCATTATAATTACAAAGGAGTTACTTGTCAAATGATGAAGTGGAATGCGCAAACTTTCTAATTTCAAGCTAGTTTCCACTTCTCTGCCTCTTATTCTTTTCCCACAGGATTACAATTCCTTTCCCCCCAAATTCCTTCATTCCAACCAAACGCCCTGTTAGCGTTTTCCTTGTGTTTGTAGAGAACTAGCAGGGAGACTATACAAGGATTTGAGTTGCTGGCTAATCAGCCTGCTGTTATTCAGGGCAGTTTCGAGTTCCAAGTTGTCGGACCACCATTGCTCGAGTCCATGTGCCTCTAGAAACTTCTGCTTCCCTTTCGACGAGGACAGGAAAAGTTTGGCAGCAACTTGAGCATTTGTCGTCCTAGCATTATTCACCTTGCCTGCAGCCTGCAGGTTGTTCTGTGTTTCGCCTGAATCAATGTAATAGCAACAAATGTAATCGCTGTTGTTTATATACAGATGTGGCACCCATTGTCCGAGGCCTAACTGCAAAGCTTTTGCTGCAGATTCTTCTGAGCTAGTCCGAGTTTGATCAGAACTTAAAGGTAGCATTGACCTCAACTTGTTCCAACCAAAACGAGCTTTTTCTCCGATATTCCTCATATACATAGCCAGTGAGGCAGAGGGCGGATTGAACAAATGTGCCTCTATGTATATTCCTTCTTTGGCTAATGTTTTCCCTACTTGAAGAGCAAAGCCAGCCCCGAGTGAATGCCCAGCAATGCATATATTCTTGCTTCCATACTTGCCAGCAAGCAACTTGAGCGCTCTTTGAGCTACACTGAACCTGACAGATCCCTTTAAACTTTCCCAAGCTAGGTAGCGTAGATCATCTTGGATATCCCTTCTCATTGTTGGGGTTTTGAGAAGTGTCCCTCTCAGCGCTAAAACAGCAGTTGGGGCACCACTCGGTCTGATAGGCACGAGATCAGCCAAAGCTGCTGCTCGATCCCATTTGAATACCGCCCCAAATATAGATCCATCTCTTTCGTCTGTTAGGGTCTCAGCCAGTCTGTATTTGAAGGGTATCCACCAATTTGGAGCAAGAGCGTTTCCTTCTTTCCTGTTTTCTTGCCTGTCTAGCTCAAGCAAGTAAACTGATTGTACAAAACAAGCCATCACTGTTCTCTTATAATTGCCATTCTTCCTGTACATGCAAATTCCCAGCATCAAACTTCAACAAATTCTTTCCAACAAGAGGAATTCACCAATTTTTTTAGCAAATAATCATTCCAATTTCTCAAATTAACAAGCAAATGACAAAAGATTGCATCCTTTTTTTTTTTTGGTCCTCAAACAAGCCAACAAATCCACAACTATTGACCTGAGAGAAGTGGATTTCTTAAAGATTTATATCATCTAAGCAACAGATGTTATGAAAAACTCATAGTTTCCCTCATAGTCATATTTTTCTAATAACAGATCAAAATAATATACGGAGTATCACACAAGCATTATTACTAAAAAACTGAAGAAGGAGAGGGTTTGATCCAATTAGAGATTAATCTAAAAAAGCAAAAGAAGTATGATAAAATGGGAAAGTGGAGAGTAGACTAACCAACTGGAGTTGATCAGGTCTCTCCAACTGGGAGTAGAAACATTGCGTGGTCCTGAAGCTTGAAATGCATATGGATGAAACTGTGACTGATCCTTACTCATCTCCTTCGCCATTTCCTCCCTTTCCAAAACCTCACCTCCGATGCTCCCACATTCCGCCATATATATCTCCGTGTGCGCATTTATATTGTCATCGCCGCCCCACATTTCTCTGCTCTCAAGAATCAAAAGAGCGAATAAGTAAGAAAAAGGGGGAGATTGGGCTCTGGTTCTCGCCTCTTTTGCTTCGCTTTTCTCAAGGCTTTTTGCACTGTAAGTCGGTATCTGATTCCTGAATTGGCGGTGGATTTGGAGCCGATGTGAGCATCTGCATGCCGTCGTCCAGATAAGAATCAACTAATTTAACCTATTCCTTAGTACGTTCAATTCAAAAGTGGATACCAGGCTGCCAGATCTTGATGGGACGCTAATTACGTCTTTATTTCTAGTCTCAGTATACGTTAATTACATTGTTTGAATTCTTAATACCAAGTAACTTTGCGTAATTAAGAGAAAGGCAAACAAGAAGAACATTTCTGAAGTTTCTAACTGGAAATTCACAAAGCTTAATCCAGAATCCTGAAGCCAAGCGGCTCCTCTCTCACCCGCTGTATATGTGTTGGGGCTTGCAACTTTGCGGTAAATAAAGCGTTATGGTAGCTTACAGGCTTCAACCAGGCCGACATCTTCCTACCTTCTCCCATTCCCCTGCAAAAGTTGACTTCACATATGGAATCAAATCTTATGATTCCATACTCATTTAAATTGCATTCCAATACGGCAAATACCTTACTATATAGTGTGATGTTAATTTGTTATTGTTCTAAAATAGATAGTTACATGATCAAACTCAATAATTTATTACATATGAACAATTAATTAGGAAGAATTTTGGACTGTTTGAGATAAATTTTTTGTCAATTTTTTATCTTGCAAAATTAATATTTTTGTGAGATCCATTGAATAAGAAAAAATTTAAATAAGCTTGTACAAGTGGGCGTTGGGCACGTAAATGTACATTTTTAATTATTATTTTTTTTTTTGCTTTTCTTTTTTGTTATTTTTTCCCCTCAATTCTTCATCCTCTTTCCTACTTGGCACCAAAAAACAACTAAAAATCTTGTCCTAATGAGATTGCTCAAGGCATCTCCATTAGGAAGGTTTTTCTTGATTTTTCAGACCCTTTTGGTACATGAAAGAGAGAGAATGATTGAGCTCCTCTTGAAACAATCATTATGCTGTGCATCCGTATGCACCATGCATGGTGCATACGGATGTCAAAACGATGTCGTTTTATTAAAAAACGCGCGTCTCCCCTTTATAAAAAATTCAGGTTCGATTCCCAGCAACAACATTATATTGTTCATTCATTCTGGAATTTTAGTTCATAGATTATTGGAATTATAGTTCATTGATTATGAAATTATAGTTCATCGATTATGGAATTGTAGTTCATCGATTCTGAAATTTTAGTTTATAGATTATGGAATTTTAGTTCATTCATTCTGAAATTTTTAGTTCATAGATTAGATTTTATGCATTATAGTTCATCGATTATGAAATTATAACTCATATGTTGTTGCTGGGAATCGAACCTGATTTTTTTTTTTTAAAGGGGAGACGTGCGTTTTATTAAAACGACGTCGTTTTTGCATCCGTATGCACCATGCATGGTGCATACGGATGCACAACATAATTTGCCCTCTTGAAAAGACTCAAGTTTTTACAGATTTGTGGATCCCACCAAAAGAGAGAGGGGAGTCGCCAACTCGCATGAGACACACAAAAGGCGCCGAGTCTAGCGCATGCAATAAATACACTTATTTATTTATTTATTTGTTTCACGATTGTTTTTTTTTTTCATTTTCTTTTTTCTCACATGTTCCTCTCTCTTCTCTCTTATTTGGCACCTTAAAAACTGTTCCAAAAAACCTCACTATTGAGGATGCTACAAATGCTATTTTTTGTGAGTCCCGATTCAAGAAAAAAAAAATAACGAATTTGTATGCTGCAAGGTGCACCTGCGTAAAAGAAGCACTTTTTTTTTTAATTACTTTTCTTCCCCTTTCTTAATGAAATGACTTTTCTTTATCAATTTTTTATTAGAGACTAAGGGAGTGTTTGGGTTGCTGAAAAATATTTTAAAAATAAAAATAATTATTAATAAAAAATAATTTTAAAATATTTTTTAATCCCTAAACATGAGAAAATTTTATATTTAAAAAAATACAATTTGATAAATATCATAAATTAATTATTGCAATATCATTTATGTTTACAATGAGATTTTTTTTTTTTTGAATGCTTAAACCATTACAAAAAAAAAAAATTCACATTGTAAACATAAATGATATTGCAATAATTAATTTATGATATTTATCAAATTAAAGAAAAAATTAATAATTCAAATATGTGAACCAAAGATTTCAAAATGAAATTAATATACAGTTACAAATAAATATAGCATGATTAGATTTACTTTAATTAGTATGATTTTTCTTTATCAGTTTTGTATGCGAGACTAAGGGAGTATTTGGGTTGTTGAAAAATATTTTAAAAGTAAAAACAATTTTAAAATACTTTTTAACCCCTAAACATGTAAAAATTTTATATTTTAAAAAAGATACAATTTGATAAATATCATAAATTAATTATGGCAATATCATTTATGTTTACAATGAGAATAATTAAAGAAAAAATAAACAATTCAAGTAGTTTAAAAATTATGAATATATAGCTTTATAATTATGAACATATAGTTCAGTAATTATGAACATAGGGTTCTGTAATTGTGAATATAGAGTTCAATAATTACGAATATGAAATTCAAAGATTATGAATATATAGCTTTATAATAATTAACATATAGTTCAGTAATTATGAACATAGAATTGTAATTATAGTCCAATTAATACAAATCCAAAACACTAATATATATAATCTATAAAATTGCAGCACCGAATGCGTATATCTACACGTTAGTTATTAATTTGACAATTATTTGCTCAAATTCAAACAATAATAACATCAGAAAACATAATCGGTGCAACTCAATTCTTCAATTATATTATATAATATTCGATATTCGATGTTATAATTTATACAATTGTATATTGATTTAAATATTTTTAAAATATTATAACAAATTCATCACGTGCAACGCACGAGCAAAAATACTAGTTTTTATTTTTTTATAAAAAAAAAACAGACATGAAAGTGATGGAATTATCAATTATGGAACTAAGAAGTTTCCTATTAGGGAGTATAAATCATTAAATCTAGAGAGAAAAAGAAAATATAGTACAAAATTAGGAAATAAAATCACAATTCAAGAATTTACAAATTTGGCAGGTGAATTTTGTTTATAAAGGCATTAACTCATTAAGGGCAATATCGACCTTTGCTTCTCTTCTACGCGGTTCAGCAATTCTCTCTCGCCCTCCGCCGTGGGCAACATTCCGAGGAAGAGATTTTCAATTCAGGCAGTGATGATGCGAGGAACAGGGAAGAAGAAGATTGAAATCAAGAAAATAGAGAAAGAGTCATCACGAATGGTGACATTCTCTAAGAGACGTAGTGGTCTGGTCAAGAAAGCTGTGGAACTAGAAGACAAGACGGGAGCCCGTGTGGCCTTGGTGGTTTTCTCCCCCAGAGATCACGTCTACACTTACGGCGACATTCCCGCCATGTCCGACCTTGTCGAGAGGATCACCAACAACACCAATGCCGCCATGTCCGACCTTGTCGAGAGGATCACCAACAACACCAGCATAGTTCCTTACGAGGCCGGCCAAATGCAGGACAACGGTACCGTCGACAGTTCCACCTTGGGTTCGGGTTCAAATTACAAAAACCTAATTCACTGGGTCGATAGCATCGACATTGAAGGATGTAACAATTTGGAAGAAACCTTGAAGTTGAAGCAAATTTTGGAAGTCCTTCTGCAAGACTGAAGATTATTGCTCATGATGACTTGTTTAGGATACAATCCTAATCCTAATCCTGACGGGTAAGAGTAAGGAAAATTTTGAATAAAAAGATGCTTTTTTTTAGCTACTTGTGTATTGGCAGCACTAGAATGAGATTAAATCTTTGAGATGTTCATTCATTAGTAGTTTAAAATCGAATAAAAATATGTTTTTTTTTTTCCAGTAATTTTAAAATTGTTAAAATATATTTATACTGCAAGTAGAAAATAGATTACCCATTTTTTTTCTGTTTCTCAATTATTCAAGAAATTTGAAAAATTTCACAAGTTATTAATATTCCAATATTATTCAGAAGACAATATAGTGTGAAATTGAGAAAATTTTGTAGGCAATAACTCAAGAAGAGTAGAAGACAGAGTTCAAAATGTCAAATCTTAAGAACTTGGCTTCTGTTATTAATTGTCATAACAATAAGCACAGAATATAGTTATAAACTTAAACATTCTATGATTCTTAAATGATTAAAAAGGAAATGTCAAGCATGCAACACTCCAGCATCATACAGGTTATGGGGCCAGGAGTTGGAGCTGTAAAAGTTTTCTGCCATCTTACACCAGAAAGGTTGATTCAAGAATGAACAATTATCATCTATTACCAATGTATTCAAGTTGTGATGTTATGAATGCGTTGGTTACAGTTAGAACCGAGCAGAAACCCTTTTTCATTTCCACCACTTCAGCTTCTAAGTAAACACTCTACAATCTGATTGGGCAAACACATTCAGAATAATTCTTTGAATTGACCTTCAAACTTGTACATCAATCATTCTATTGACTAAGCAAATAATAGTTTTTCTTGAAGTTCAAAAGCACCAAATGTTTAGTTTTAAAAAAAAAAAAAAACTCAATTAAACAACTTATAAAAAACCAAGATACTTTCATAATCACATCCTCTTTCATAAAAAGAAACAAATGCCAACTCAGAATGATAACAAAGAATCAAGTTTTATTCAGTTTGAGCAATTTGCACAACCTCACATGAGTTTGCTGCATCCATACATAAAGAGAAGGGCTGTGAGATTTACCAATGCTGCTCTAGTGCAGGGGCTCTGGATAACAGATAGCTGCAACACTTCAATGAGAGGGAAAGACACTTATAATCCTCAAACCTTTACTGCCACTTAAAAATCAAGAAGACAATAACTCAAGAAGACAGAGTTCAAAATGTCAAATATTAAGAATCGACTAATGTCTTGTTTTGAGTCAAGTAATTACAATTATTGGCATATAATGTTTATGTGAACTTCTGTTGACCAATAGATATAGTCATATAGACACTTATACAGCATCAGCTCAGATGAAATAAGACTATAATTAAAAAAAAAAAATTACCCAAAAATTTAGTAAATTAAGGATGTTATTTTTACCTGAAGCTAATTTTAAATAAAATAAAATAAAATAAATCCAATCCTGGGTATTTTGCATACTCCTTTGAATGAACATCATTTTCAGCATCTTTTCCAAGCATATATGTTGACCTATTGTGTTAAACTCTCCAGCCCGCCTTATTCCACATCTTAACTCTGTCGTCTTCTCCCCGCCATTTCATATTTATACAACATCATACCTTCTTCCAGTAGCAGCAAAGAAAGAAGGAAAATATAAACACACTTACTTGGTTTCTGAGGCCAAGAGATCAGTACCCCTTTTCTCTCTGATCTAGTTTTCTCACAGACATGGGAAAGAAGACAATGAGCAAAACATGTTCACAGTCGCAGAAAATATCGAAGAATCATGACAAGCTTAAGAAGCAACAGCTTAACAGCTTGATTAACTTCTTGAAACCCAAAGTTTACATCACAGACTCTTCAAACTTCAAGAGCCTGGTTCAAGAACTCACCGGTAAAGGAACTCATCCCGACTCCTCACCTTCGCCTGCTATTCCACAGCCATTTGAGGCTTCTGTAATGCCTGCAGTTATTCATGATGTTGGAGGACACCAAACTTATCAAGAAAATGGGATTGAGGAGTTTTCTGTCGACTCATCAGAAGGAAGCGGCCAAATAGAAAGTTCCATGGTTCCACGCATACAAGAACCTTTCACCGGGTTGGATAACTTTGCACAATTTAAGGATTTCGAGTCTTGGCTCCTGGAAACGGACTTGGATCACTATGATGATGCCTATGCTCCCATGATTCAGCATGACCTGCAAGATGTTTCTGTCTTTGACAGTTATGATATACCCTGCTTATTTCTTGATGATAATTACCAAATCCAGTACTAGGAAATCACCATGTGTAGTTCGTTTTCCTGTTTTCAAACGGTAGATAATGAAGCATTATAATTACAAAGGAGTTACTTGTCAAATGATGAAGTGGAATGCGCAAACTTTCTATTTCTAGCTAGTTTCCACTTCTCTGCCTCTTACTTTATTCCCACCGGATTACAATTCCTTTCCCCCCAAATTCCTTCATTCCAATTTCCAACCAAACGCCCTGTTAGCGTTTTCCTTGTGTTTGTAAAGAACTAGCAGGGATACTATACAAGGATTTCAGTTGCTGGCTAATCAGCCTGCTGTTATTCAGGGCAGTTTCGAGTTCCAAGTTGTCGGACCACCATTGCTCGAGTCCATGTGCCTCTAGAAACTTCTGCTTCCCTTTCGACGAGGACAGGAAAAGTTTGGCAGCAACTTGAGCATTTGTCGTCCTAGCATTATTCACCTTGCCTGCAGCCTGCAGGTTGTTCTGTGTTTCGCCTGAATCAATGTAATAGCAACAAATGTAATCACTGTTGTTTATATACAGATGTGGCACCCATTGTCCAAGGCCTAACTGCAACGCTTTTGCTGCAGATTCTTCTGAGCTAGTCCGAGTTTGATCAGAACTTAAAGGTAGCATTGACCTCAACTTGTTCCAACCAAAATGAGCTTTTTCTCCGATATTCCTCATATACATAGCCAGTGAGGCAGAGGGCGGATTGAACAAATGTGCCTCTATGTATATTCCTTCTTTGGCTAATGTTTTCCCTACTTGAAGAGCAAAGCCAGCCCCGAGTGAATGCCCAGCAATGCATATATTCCTGCTTCCATACATGCCAGCAAGCGACTTGAGCGCTCTTTGAGCTACACTGAACCTCACAGATCCCTTTAAACTTTCCCAAGCTAGGTAGCGTAGATCATCTTGGATATCCCTTCTCATTGTTGGGGTTTTGAGAAGTGTCCCTCTCAGCGCTAAAACAGCAGTTGGGGCACCACTCGGTCTGATAGGCACGAGATCAGCCAAAGCTGCTGCTCGATCCCATTTGAATACCGCCCCAAATATAGATCCATCTCTTTCGTCTGTTAGGGTCTCAGCCAGTCTGTATTTGAAGGGTATCCACCAATTTGGAGCAAGAGCGTTTCCTTCTTTCCTGTTTTCTTGCCTGTCTAGCTCAAGCAAGTAAACTGATTGTACAAAACAAGCCATCACTGTTCTCTTATAATTGCCATTCTTCCTGTACATACAAATTCCCAGCATCAAACTTCAACAAATTCTTTCCAACATGAGGAATTCACAATTTTTTTAGCAAATAATCATTCCAATTTCTCAAATTAACAAGCTAAGGACAAAAGATTGCATCCTTTTTTTTTTTTTTGTCCTCAAACAAGCTAACAAATCCACAACTATTGACCTGAGAGAAGTGGATTTCTTAAAGATTTATATCATCTAAGCAACAGATGTTATGAAAAACTCATAGTTTCCCTCATAGTCATATTTTTCAAATAACAGATCAAAATAATATATCACACAAGCATTATTACTAAAAAACTGAAGAAGGAGAGGGTTTGATCCAATTAGAGATTAATCTAAAAAAGCAAAAGAAGTATGATAAAATGGGAAAGAGGAGAGTAGACTAACCAACTGGAGTTGATGAGGTCTCTCCAACTGGGAGTAGAAACATTGCGTGGTCCTGAAGCTTGAAATGCATATGGATGAAACTGTGACTGATCCTTACTCATCTCCTTCGCCATTTCCTCCCTTTCCAAATTCAGCGCCGTAACCTCACCTCCGATGCTCCCACATTCCTCCATATATATCTCCGTGTGCGCATTTATATCGTCGCCGCCCCACATTTCTCTGCTCTCAAGAATCAAAATGGCGAATAAGTGAGGAAAAAGGGCCTCTGGGTTTCTCTTTTGCTTCGCTTTTCTCAAGGCTTTTTACACTGTAAGTCGGTATCTGATTCCTGAATTGGCGGTGGATTTGGAGCGGATGTGGGCATCTGCATGCCGTCGTCCAGATAAGAATCAACTCATTTAGCCTATTCCTTTGTACGTTCAAAAAGGCTAAATATATTTTAATTCATTATACTTTTTTGGAATAAGGGTCAAATAGACCATCGAAGTGCACACAATAATACAATGAGGCAGAGACAAAGAAATCTTCATTTCCGGGCCGGAGACGAAAAAATCGGCCGAAGACGGTCGTCTCTCTGTCCGGTTCTTCTTTTTTTTTTTTTTAAATTTAAATAATTTCCTTCAAAAAACAAAGTTAAAATAATTAATTTTAAAAACTTATTTTTTAAAAAATAATTTATTTAGAAGGATGACCTGTTGATCTGTTGGAAACTTCCGAATTGGAAGAATGGTTGGAAATTTGTTAGTTTAGAGACTAAATTGTTGACTTTTTAGGTTCAGTGGCCTAATTGAATTATTGCGTGCAGTTGAATGACCTATTTAACCCTTATTTCTATTTTTTTTTTTTTGGAATAAGGGTCAAATATGCCACTCAATTGCACACAAAATTACAATTAGGCCATTGAACTAAAAAATAATGCAATTGAGCCATTGAATAACACAAAAACATGCAATTTAGTCCAAAATGACATGTTGACCTGTTGTAGCAAGTTACCCATTTTTAAATTAATTTTTAAAAATAATTTTTTATTTTTAATAAATAATTAAATTTAAATTTAAATTTAAAAAAAAAAAAAACAAAAAAAGACATAAACATTCGGCCGGAGACGAACCTCCGTCTCCAGCCATGGAGACAAAGACCTTCGTCTCCGGCTATGGAGACGAAAGTCTTTGTCTCCATGGCTGGAGACGGAGGTTTGTCTTCGGCCATGGAGACGAAGCTGGCCGGAGACGAATCGTCTCCGGGCGGCTGTTTCTGTTTCTGTTTTTTTTTTTTTAATTTTAAATTTAATTATTTATTTATTAAAAATTATTTTTAAAATTTAATTAAAAAATGGGTAACTTCCTACAACAAGTAAACAAGTTATTTTGGGCTAAATTGCATGTTTTTGTGTTGTTCAATGGTTCAATTGCATTCTTTTTTAGTTCAGTGGCCTAATTACATTTTTGTGTGCAGTTGAGTGGTCTATTTGACCCTTATTCTTTTTTTTTTTTTTTTTAAATTTTAAATGATGAGAGAATTATTTGATGTGATTTTGTGAATTAGAGGAATGAGGTGAAAGAGATGTGATTTTAGTATCTTCCAGGGAGGTCCGTGCAATTTAGAAAAGTAATTTCAGTCCAGCGTGGCAACACCCTCCGGAAGCTTCTTGTCGTGAAATTGGCAATCATTCGAGCGCGGATTATCCAGTCCGGCGCACCGTCGAGTAACAATCTAAGGATGAGCACAGTATCAGTGGCTGCTGAATGGCAGCTTCTCTATAATCGGTATTACAGGAAGCCGGAGCTCTATCAGATGCAATGGAAGCACGTGGACCTAACGCGCAACAAGGTCGCTTGTTCCCCCTTCGGCGGCCCCATCGCCGTTATCCGCGACGACGCCAAGATCGTCCAGCTCTACGCCGAGTCCGCCCTCCGGAAGCTCCGAATCTTCAACTCCGCCGGCGTCCAGATCGCAGAAACTGTCTGGAAGAACCCTGGCGGCCGTCTCGTCGGCATGTCCTGGACCGACGACCAGACGCTGATCTGCATTACTCAGGACGGCACCGTTTACCGCTACGACATCCGCGCAGAGCCTCTGGAATCGCTCTCCCTCGGCAAAGACTGCTTCACGCACAGTGTGGTGGATTGCGTCTTCTGGCATAACGGCGTCGTTTGCATCAACGAGGCCTTTCAGGTCTTCTGCATACCCGATTTCAAGAATCCGAACCCGATCAAGCTGGCGGATCCTGGTTTGGAGGACTTTCCGCTCTCTATGACGGTGATCGAGCCCCAGTACACCATGTCTGGAAATGTGGAAGTGCTGATGGCAGTAGGGGATCACGTGTTATTGGTAGAAGAGGACGGGATTCAGCAGCTGGGAGTTGGAATTGGGCCGTTGCAGAAGATGGTGGTTTCGCGGAATGGGAAGCTGCTGGCGTCGTTTACACATGATGGTAGACTTCTGGTCATGACCACGGACTTCTCCAACATCATTTTCGATTACACTTGTGAGGTTGTTATTAAATTCCCAATTTGTTTACATTGATAGAGTATGTTGGTTTTTGCCTTCTCGGTGCATATTGTAGATAATCTATACGCCATAATTGAAAAGATCTAAAATTTCAGTGATCATAGCTTAATTGAAGGTGGTGATGGCTTTTATTCCCCAGTGAAGTCTTTGATAGAAGAAATTCATAAACTAGAAGTACAAAACTGATAACCAAACTCGGAAGCACCATAAACTGCATTTTATTTGTCAGAACTGTTGATACGTAAGGTGACTTGGATAGCATTTATCCAACTGATACTATAATGCAATTGTAGCAGGGATAAGCATAGGATCTGTTGTAGGTTGGTTATTTTGCTGTGTAAGAAACATTTGAAGTAATGAAAATTGTAGCCTACAAGTAATGATCTGGTGAAGGGGAAGATGAAAAAAAGAATAATTAAAAAGAAGGAATTTTTCATAAAAGAAATGATTTCGTTAGACATTTCAGGCACAATAATATTACTGAATTTTCTGAGTTTAGCCCAAGCAGAATATTTTGAATTGTTGTATAAGGTATCTATTTCTCCTCAATTCCAAAATATTAAAGGTCCTAAAGGCACTGCCTTTAGAACCTTGCTATATAATAAATGAAAGTTGTTTTGGCTTAACACCAGAGCTATTTCAGGACTTCAGGCGAGGTACTTTGCTCCCAGAGCCTTTTTCATTTCATGTGACCTCCATCTCATTTTAGGATTTAGTTTTCCTTGTCTCATTTCTTTATTCTCCTGAAATAATGAAGCATACACTTTATCCTTGTTTCCTTTCTTTCTCCTTTTCGTGTATATAGTCAGCCCTACCTCCTGAGCAGCTGGCTTGGTGCGGAATGGATAGTGTATTACTTTACTGGGATGACATGCTTTTAATGGTGGGTCCTTATGGCGATCCAGTACGCTACATCTACGACGAACAAGTTCTGCTGATCCCCGAATGTGATGGAGTTAGAATACTATCCAACACAAGTATGGAGTTTCTGCATAGAGTACCAGATTCCACCGTCTCTGTCTTTCAAATTGGGAGTACACTGCCTGCTGCTTTACTTTATGATGCCTTGGATCATTTTGACAGGAGGAGTGCCAAGGTATGCCCCTCTTGATGGGAACAAAAGGCATTCATTTGTGTGGCATCAATGATTTTCATGTATTTTCACTTTTACAGTTTCACATGATAGATTAACTAACTATATGTGTATCCCATAACTCATGCATGTCTGTGGCTGGGGTTTAGGTTTAATTCTCCATGAATGTATGACATGTTAAATAACATGTTGCTATAATAGGTGACGCCTCTGTTTCAGAAATTTAGGGTCTGTTTGGAAAGCAGGAAAATGACTCATTTTCCAGGAAACATTTTCCTTTCCAGTGTTTGGTTGCATTTTGGAATAGGTGATGACTTTTAGTTAATAATATTTGGTCAAGTTGCATTGAGAGCTCAACATTTTTGGGCTCTGAATTAAAAACATATATAGGTGTTGACTTTTAGTTAAATGCATGGTTCAGACAGATGGTGCACAGGACATATTATCTATATCTTGTTATAGTACTTGCACATGCCAAATGCATCGCTAAGATTAGATAAAAGTAAATAGATTGAACAACATAGTACTCTACCTAGAGGGGAAGTGTTCTTAAAATGGAATTTTTCAGCAAATTCTAATGTTTTGTTCTTCACCAGGCAGATGAGAATTTGAGGTTAATTCGCTCTTCATTGCCTGAGGCTGTTGAATCATGTATTGATGCGGCAGGTCATGAATTTGATGTTCAACAGCAAAGAACCTTGCTAAGAGCTGCAAGCTATGGCCAAGCATTTTGCAGGTTGGTATACTTGAATTATCAGAATCTCTTCTTAATAAAATTATGGACTTTATAAAAATGAATCACATGCCCTTATTTACTTTGATCTGTTTCTGCCTCTTTGGCAGGTTTGTATAATGAACACACCCTTCATTAATAGTTATTGCATAGTCTGTGTTTTTATGTGATTCATACTCGTCTGTGCAAGGATCATTTAAGCAAAATAGGCCCCTTACCCCAGAAACTAATCATTAAAGGGGTACATAATTATGATCTATTCCAATGTAAAACTGCAGAGAAATGTTCATGGAACTTCTTGCCCTGGTTGTGTTCTTTATGCTATAAAATGGCTCAAACTACTACTGAAGCAGTGAAACTGTAGAGGACAAAAAGGCTTTATTGAATATTTGCCCCCCAGACATGCCCCCTTTTCCCTTTGCTCATTAGATTATAATCCTTAACTTCTTCTCACTTGCAAAAGTTTGGTGTAACCCTTTATATTCAATGATGGCTCAAACAACTATTGGAGCATTAGAACTATCACTTGGTGCAAAGGTCTTTTTTTTCTGTGGACTCATTCTTGAGGAACACACCAGTTTTGTTATGGCCTTTATCACTGTTAAATTTCATGTTCTAAAGAGAACCTTTTTTTTTCCCCTGATTTCTTCTCTCGTTAACTGTATCCAGTTGGCTTTGGCAGCCATTTTCAGCGTGATCATATTCAAGAGATTTCTAAAACCTTACGAGTACTAAATGCTGTGCGCCATTCAGAGATCGGCATTCCTCTTAGTATTCAGCAATATAAGGTATTTAATGCTTAATGTTTTGGTTTTACCAAGAGCGGAGCCAAAAATAAGGTTGACTAGGGGCAAAAAATAAAGTAGTGCGAAATGTGATAAAAAACATTCATGACAAAATATGAAACATAATTAATTGGATAAAATAGT